GGCCTTTGGTAAGCTAGCATTTCTGGGGCTGGAAGTTACTTGTGCAGACTGCCCTGTCCCATGCACCAAAGTATGGAGGGACTGTGAAGATCTTTCTGTCTCCTAATTATACTCTCTTGGCTCTGCTCCAAGGTTGCTTTTTGCAATGCATTTGTGGTATAGCTTAATGGTAAAGAGAAGTCTACCACGTAAGAATGCACAGTGTTTCACACTTACAAAATCTTTCAGAAGAGAGAGCGGGAAGAGAGCAACTGGGACTCTGAAGAGAGCTATGCACCACTTCACTGTGAAGTGGAGAAGGTGGTAAAAAATAATACCTGGGCAGGTGCTGGATGAATCCAGTTGCACAGTTACTTAGGCTCCTCCTATCTTTCCAGCAAGCATCAATAGAAGCGAACTGGAGAGTGGGTCCTGGATGAGGACATGACATTAAGTATGCCCTTTCCATCATTCACCAAAGCAGCTGAGGAGCTCCTGTTACAGAGCAGGTGAGTGGGGTGAGAAGACTGGGTGGACTCTGGGTAGAACAGGCAAAAAAAGAGACAACAGGTGGTAGAAGGAGTTGCAGAGGAAGAAGGATTTGGAGCAAAGGGAGATCAGGGTTACTAGTATAGTGTAAGCTTGAGAAAGTGGCTATTCCCCCAGAAAAAATCTGAGAACATGTTGATCAGTTGCAATTGCTGACAGATAACAGAGATGCCATAGTTTCAGCCAATTAATATGGTTTTGATGCCTAGATTTTGAATGTTGTGGATGAAAGGAGCATGCATATCATCCTTTGGCTACCCAAAGTAGGTGTCTTTCAAGATGTGGCAAGCATTAAAAAATGTTTTGGAATACTGTGATTTCACATACCAAGAGAGGAGGAAATTCTGAACGTTTCCAAGAGCACTTAAGGATGGGAAAACTTCACTCATTAGTGTGTCTGCCATAAGGATCATCACATTTAGGCGCTCTCTATCTAAAAGCATTACCAATTTGTGAATTAGTAATAAGTCATGCAATGCTCAATGTGTAAGCCCACTCTCTCAACTCTCTCAGGAATATCCCACACCCTACCTGCCCTCCCAGTCCCCACCAGAACCTCTGCTTTCCAAAGGTGCATCTCCCTTCAGTGTTCTCAGCCATTTAATTTGGCATGATTGCTCACAAGGACTTGGGGTGTAAGGAGACACTGCCTGCCCGCCCGCCCGCCTACCGCTGCTAGAGTGCCAGGGAAAAGCAGAGATTCAGAAAACAGGTCTGTTTCCCAAGACACTCCTTTACCCAGTGAGACAGGCATGGAGGTACAAAGGCAATGAGCATGAAATGGGTGGATGGACAGTGAATTCACAAGTGCAGTGTGGAATTTGCTTCCAGAGTGTAGGTACAGCTGTGACAGTCATTCCCAAGTGAGTTCTCTGCATCCCTGTGTTCTTCTTATCACACCTCTGGCCACTGAATCCATGATTCTGCACTCAGGAACAGCAGCTACCTGCACCGGGACCCAACTACTTGAAGAGGGCTGAGGTAGTAACTAGCAAATGCTCCCACAGACGATCAAAAGCTGCAGAGTTGAAGTCCAGGGTCAGGTAACAACAACTAGATGATGTGCCTTTGTTTGTTCTCTTCCTTTCTTCCTTTCTCTTTCTCTTTCTTCCGTCCTTCCTTTCTTTCTTCCTTCCTTCCATCTTTAATTTCTGCCTCTTTCTTCACCCGTCTTTGATATTTCTCTCTTCCCCATCAATATCTTTTTCAGTCTTCTTTTTTCCTTAATCTTTCATTTCTGCCTCTTTCTTCACCCGTCTTTGACATTTCTCTCTTCCCCATCAATATCTTTCTCAATCTTCTTTTTTCCTTAATCTTTTTTAGTCTTTTCCTCCCTTCCTCTCTTTTCTCTCTTTTCCCTCTTTCTTGCTTACTTTCTTGCTTGCTTTGCTGCTTGCTTTCTTTCTTTACCAGTGTCTCATTCTTTCACTCTCCTTTTCTCTTTCTCCCTCTTCACTATCCCTCTCTTTTTTTTTCTCTCTTTTCCTCTCCTTTTCTGTCATTGGGGAGGAACGTACTTTTTGGTCAAGGCAACGTTTGTGTGACGTGAGTGCATGGCCAGTAAGTACTCAGAGAACTGGAAAGCTGAATCTGGCATTGTTGCCTGCTTCTCCCTCTCCTTCTCCCTATCCCTCCTTTCCTGTTCTTTTGCTTTCTGTCTTTCACTCTGATCCCTCTCCTTTTCTGTCGTTAGGGAGGAACACATATTCTGGTCAAAGAAATGTTTCAGAGTCCTGAATGTACGGCTTGGAAGTGCTTGGAGAACAGCAGTGATGAACATTATTATGACAACTTATTGAAAAGCAGTGTCTGAGAGTAATCATGTTTTCCCCAAGATCAGTTACCTTTGCATCAGCACTTATCAGGTCACAAGCAGTTTGACTCCAGAAATAGTGTGTCAATGCAAAATGACTCCTGTCCTTCATCTAAGGCAGCAAATGACAAAGTAAGGAGAAATCAGTTTTCCTTAGCCCTCCCATTAATGTTCCACTCTGATTCCAGGAAATCTTCAGTCATACTTTCCAGAAAGGCCAGTGGCAAGACCAGGTGAGCCCAGTGCAATATGTGGGACTTCTCTCCATTTCCAACAGATGCAGTTTTAAGTAGATAATTGGACCAAGATGTTTTCATTTAAGGAACGTGCAATGTTACCTTGCATCTGTTGAACAATTAGGGACAAATTCTCAAGCCATAATTTCTTACGGGTGAGAGATGAGCCAAAATGTTTTCAAGCCTTTCAAGTGCTTCATTGATTCTTCCACAGTCAGACCAGGTTGTTCATTTCGGATGGTCATTGTAATATTGTCCAAGGGGAACAGAGATTTTAGGCACCAAAATACGGTCCCCAAAGTTGTTGTGGTATTTGCTAGTCAGTCAGCAGGTTTAAAAAGGTAGCCATGGAGCTAGAAATACTTCTCCACGCTTTTATTGAGCCACAGTTGCAATACACTGACTTTGGAATCCAGCTTTTGAGGTTTTTTGTTTAAAGAAATACGTGCTTTAGTGCAAAGAAAATCTTTTTGATTCCTTTCAAGGTGTGGAAACAAAGGTTTTGTCTGGAAAGAAAGAATCCCACCTATTTCTTGGGAAGATACTGTAGGAAGGGAGAGAGCTGATGAGCAGTTTCCTTCTTTGGTGCCCAGATATCACTGGCATTGATGCAGCTTTCACAGCTTCACACATGAAGATACTGTCTCTCAAGAGCATCACTTTCAGTGACACAGGAGTCAACACAGGGTATCATCTTTTCCTTAAATATACTTAGCTTCTGCCTAGCAAATTGCTTCCATATTTAGTTATAACATGGGAGGATTCCCTGGTGTGTAAACCCCAGCATGCTTGGGAGGAGGAGGACCTCCTACTCCTGAATGCTGTTGCTGCAAACACACTGACTGCTGTGGACAGCACAAAGGGCTTCTTCCTGCTGTCTTCACCCCACCTCCCCTCCAACAGCTCCAGCTGCCTTCCCAAGCAACTTCAGAGCTCCTTGAAGTAGTCCCAGGAAAAGCAGCTGTGTAAAGCTAGCCAGGAACCTTGAGGGAGCCGTAAGTGTCCCTATAGTGAAGAGAGGCAAGATTCCTTTACCGTTCCTGACATCTGCTAGTAGCATCTGCCTATAGCAGCTATGCAATGCACCTGTGTTCAGTGCTGCCAGAATGGCTGTTTTGTATTTTAAGTGCTGCTTCTTGCCTTGCAGGAAACAGAACGTTGTTTGTTTAAGACTTCAGACCAGCACACATTGTGTAGATGACTTGTTTTGTTTCTGTCCAGCCAGGATGCAGTTATATACATTCCAACTCATCCATTGCCACTAGAGTCAGACAGGTAGGACACAGTTTGGCATTATCATCTACGTTTTTTTCCTCTGTAAAGTACTAGATCATGTGATTTATTTAAAACTCTAATGTTCCTGGAATTATTCCCACTTGAAGTCTTATCTTTACATGATCAAATATATTTCCTTTAGCTTTTGTATTTATACATAACTCCACATTATTCCTTGGCACAAAATCTTATTATAGTCTTATATTAATATTTCAGTACCGGAAAACACTATACAGTACTGCAGCACTTCCTAGGCTGTTCTGGTGGCTCTAGATTTTACATCAGTTGGGGTTTATGCCATAGTGAATCCGCTTGTTCACACTTACTTCTACCAATCTTTTCATCGATCTCCATTTCATTTACAACAGGAGCATACTGTCTTAATATAAGCTATTCTGTCTAACAGAGAAAGTAAGGAACTGCAACGTCTTCTTACCCAAATACATTATTTCTTTTGCTTTAGAACTGACTGTATATTACTTCCTCCATAAAAAAAAATGCTCTGCTTGATCTTTAATTTTGCTCAATAAAAAGCCACTCTCCAGAGTTTTTGGCCTTCACCTGCCTTGTTCATAGGAGACAGCACCTCAGGTCTTGTATAAGCTGTTCTGTGAGGACTCAGAGACCTTTGGGGTTCCAGGTTTCTTTTTATGGGGCAACTTCCCTCTAAATCTGAATTGACAAGTGAGAATGGGACCAGCAAAGACAGCTTCTGCTCTGTATACTGAACCCATTTAGAAAGGGAACTCCCAAAGGCGGAAAGATTTTACTGTGCCAGGACAGACAAGGTACTTGTCCTGCCTTTGCCCTGATCCTCCTCTCTTGCCAAACTGGAATTAAATTAGCGCTATTTCCTACCCAGTAATGTAATAGGACACAGTGGAGAAATACTGGAGATAATTAAAGTTCTACTGCTATTCAAGGGTTAAATAAAATAAAATGTTTAAACTGAAAATGACCCAAATATATGTAAATGCAGATTTGAACTATAACTACCAAAAGCACTGCTTCTGCTACGTATGCAAAGAAATCTACTGTCTTTATTCTCTAGACGTTGACAGCATTACAAAGACTAATTACAGAATGAAATGACCAAGAGGTTCACATTTTGTGTATCCCTCAGGTCACTTTGCTGCCTCAAGACATCCTCACTCTTCCTCTTCTATCTTCTTGCTGTGAAACTCTCGGCTCTTTGCTCGGAGCTTGTTGACCTGCGACTCCGCAATGTCAGCCCGCTACTCGGCTTCCTCCAGCTCGTGCTGGATCTTGCGGAACTTGGAGAGGTTGACATTGGACAGCTCCTCCTGTGTGGGGAGAGGGAGTCGGTGGTAAGGAGCCCAGGGTAGGCGTTGTGCTCCTCCTGCACCACAGCCTTGTGGGGCTATAGCTCTCCCGCCCTCCGCCCCCCCCCCACCACTGCTTACACATGAGCCTCACACAGACCTCCTCATCGTCCCTTATTGAGGAGCCCACTGTGCCATGCTTCACCAGTTAGTGTCACTCTTGAGGAGTTATTTCATCACTTGCTCTTGTCGTTTGTGTACTTATTCTCCCATTACTTGTGGCCCAACTATCAGTGTGACTTGTTAGGATGAGAAAGACCCTGAGGTCTTCTGCTGTTGATCAGCAACAGAGACTTATGGACCTCTCAGTCACTGGATATAGCCCCTGGGTTTGTTTAGACTGACCTCCTCTATAAAACAGGCTGCAGAACTTCCCTCTTTTCGTCCCTGACTGCAGGGAGCCCAGAACTCAGCAAGACCTCACGACACAATAGTAAAATGGCATCAACAAAACTGTTGTGTCTTGGGAGTTTCTTTCATGCTCTTTTCCTGATATTCATACTCATCTCAATGAGCATGCTGCCGCGATGGAAGGTGGCAGTTGTCCGTTCTCCAAGCAATACTTACGGCCTCCTCAGCCTGTCTCTTGTAGGATTTCACCTTCATTTGCAGCTTGTCCACCAGATCCTGCAGCCTGAGAATATTCTTCCGGTCTTCCTCAGACTAAAGCAGTTGGCAAACAGGAAAAAGGCAATGAATGTTTGGTTTCCCACCACGTGAGGTTCACAATTCCCCTTGGGGATGGTGTGTGCAAAATTTGACTTGCTGTGATAAAACTCTGTCAACCCAAGAAGGCCTCCTGCCTTACCTGGTAGGTCAACTCCTTCACCCTCCGCTCGTACTTGCGCACACCCTTCACAG